GTCGGACACGGGCCTCACGGACTTGATGGGGGGCCTGATCGCGGGCTTGCCGCCGCCTGCGAAATCTTGCTCCTGGGAGAAGGGCTGCGGGTTGCCCCGGGTCCTCTGCGTGAACGTCATGCTCCCTCTCCACAACCCGAAGAATCCTTGGGCCAAGGACGAGGGGCAACCTCAAGGGGAGTGATTGGGGCAGAAGTGAAGACACGGACGCAGGATTCCCCCATGTGTCGCTGTCGTGATTACCTCACGCTCCCCAGGAGCTGACTGTTTCTAGACCTGGGATCTGTCGTCGATGCACCAGCGATGCACTGACGAAGCCGATGCATTCAGTTCCTCCCTGAGCTGGTCCTTCCCAGCGCTAGACCCCTTTGTCCACATTTGTTCCCCAGCGCGCGGAGCGCGCCAGGGGCGGCGCTGGAGACGCCGCCAGGCGTGGGGAGGGAGACACAGCGCCGACTCAAGAGTGCTGCGCGGATCTCAGAAAGTTTAATGTCCATGCCGTGCTCCGTTTTTTCCGTCATGAAGGAACTGGGTCCCGAGTGAGGCAGGCCCCGGACCCTGCGGCTCTCCTCAGGACCAGCTCTACATCCTGAGCCGGTCTTCAACAGTCCTGGGGCCCGTGGAGGGTCCCAGGGCATTGAAGCGGCGAAGAAAACGTTTACGCTTCCCTCATATGCTGAATTCTTCTGTGCCCTGCGAGGACGAGGGGGGCATGAGCGTTGTGGCTCTCTTCGAGATCTCGCCAGAGACCTGCGAGAGCGCCCGCAGCGCCGATCCCGGGCCCCACGTGCGGCTGTGGCGGCACTTCTGCGACGGCCCGGGCGGCAGGCCGGGCGGCCCGAAGGACGACCCGAGCCGGAGCCTGGCGGCGCGCAGGAACCGTGCCAAGAAGCAGGACATCGGGCATCCCAGAACTTCGGGGATCCCGAAGCTGCGCGCCGCAGTTTGCGGGCGCTCTTGTCGGCGACTCCCGGAGGTCTTCCTGCCTGGGGATGCGTTCCAGCAGCTGTGCCTCGCCGGGAGCGTTCTGGGGCGAGAGCGTTCTGGGGGTGCCCGAATCGTCCCAAACGGCCGCCAGGCACAAGTTATGACTCGGAAGCCACGTGACCCTTGGCAGGAAAGACCCTGGGTGCGCGGCTTTCGGGGGCAGCGATCGGCAAGCCGCGCACCAAAGGCCGCCCTTGCCTGGGGCCGCCCTTGCCTGGGGCCGCCCTTGCGTGTAGCCGAGTCATTTCGGCCCAGCGAGGCTTGCGGCAGCTGGAGGTGCAGCCCTGGAACGGAACACATGGGCGCTTGAAGAATCATCATTCGGTTTGCACCGTGCAGCACAGCCCATATCCGCACTGCACAGCCACGCACAGCATAACACAGCACGGCACAGTACAGCAGAACACAGCACACCGCCACACAGCACGGCATCGCAAACCCAGGTGTAACACCGCACACGGTGCTGAACACAGCACACCACGGCATAGCACAGCAATGGCACCATCTGCGCGGAGAGCCGCTTGCCGAGTCGTGAGGAACCTGCCTGGCGTTTGCGCCTAGTTGGCGCTTGTCAACACAAGGCAGGTAAGACGCCGCTCAGGCAGGCCGGCCTGAGGAACGGTCTGGTAGGCTCGCGTGATGACCCCTCTGGGACCATCTCTCTTTTTTCTGTCCTGTGAAGCGTCGAGCGATTGCAGCTAATGTGAGCAATCATTGGCCATGAAAGTAATGTGAGCATGGGAGGTACGCACCCTGGGCGGAGATCTGAACCTGTGAGAATGCAAGTACGCTTGTCCCGATGCATCGAGGATCTGCATGCAAAATCAGCCCAAGAGCGTATGATCCAGCAGCTGTCCCGACCTGCACATGTTTCCCTGCCGTTCTGAACTCTCTGGAGGACCGCGATTCTGGACTGCTCAAGGTCACAGCCATGTGTCTGAACATGGATGAGCTGGGCATACCCCAATATTTTCATCAGTTCAACGGGGCCTCGGTCGTGGTAACAGACAGCGGCTACGTCGTCAAGGACCCAGAGGGCGAGTGGATAGAGCTCGGGTTCGACGTGCGCAAGTTCCCCTTCTTATTCCGAGATGCACTCTACAATTTCCAAGGCCTGATGCCCAAGTCACAGGCCCACATCGGTTTCACGATCGCAGACGCCTACGGCGAATCATCACCGCCTCCCTGCCTCTGTAGGAGACGCATATGTGGCCAAACGTTTGGGCAACGTGTGACCACATTATTGAAGCATGCTTTCCCTCAGCCGTTGTGGAAGCCCTTCGGGGAACACGTGGGGCAGGACGAGGAGGATAGGGAGAGGGAGGAACAAGGGAGATGAGGAATAGGATCCGGAGACTTTTTGGGAGTTTCTTGGGCCATTCTTTGGGCCTCCTCGGAGCTTCCGCGGGGCCTCTTGGAGGCCGCTTGGGGGCCTCCTCGTGCCTTGGGGGCCTTGGGGGGCTTCTTGGGGGCCTCTTTGGTAGTCTTGCTGCGTTCCTGGCCCGTCCGACGCCGTCGGAAGCCGTCTTGTGAGCCTCTTTGGGCCGTCTTGGGGCCCTCTTGGGGCGCTTCGGGGTTGTCTTGGATGCCATCTTGGGCGTCTTGGGTCCTTGGGCCTTCTTGTGGCCCTTTGGGGGCCGTCTCGGGAGCCTCTTGGGCCGTTCTGGAGGCATCTTGGAGGCCTCTGGGGCGATGCAACAATCTAAGGTCAACCTCTTCAGACATTATTGCAGGTCCTCTTGGAGGCCTCTTGGGCCGTCTTAAGGGGCCCCTTGGGCGCTTCTTGGGCCGTCTGGGGCTCTATTGGGTCATTCTGGCGGTTTTCAATGCATCTTGGTGCCGTCTTGGAGGCCATCTTGGGGCTATCTTGGGACTACCTTGGGCTCTCCTGGGGCCATCTTGAGCGTCGTGGAGGCATCTTGGAGGCCACCTTGGGCCACCTTGGCCGTGTTGGAGGCGATTTAAGAAATGTGATCTGGATGTTCGGCGGCTTTCTGGGTGGCCAGGGCCGAGATCCCACGGAGGGTCCTTCAGAAAAGAACCAAGTGCACACCTGTGCAAGACCATTGGGGGCGGTGGATCGAACACGCCTGCGGCGAGTCACTGCTCCCCCCCTGCCTTTCTGAAAGGCGCCTCTGTTGCCGAACTTTTGGGCAAAGTTTGGCCACGCTATTGGATCGTCCATTCCCCCAGCTATTGTGGAAGCCCTTCGGGGAACACGCGGGGGAGGACGAGAACATGAGGAGAGGAAGCAACACTGAGGATGAGTAACAGGGTCAGGACACCTCTTGGCAGCATCTTGGATCATTCTTGGAGCCTCCTGAGAACTTCCTGGTAGCCTCTTGGAGGCCTCCTTGGGGGCCTCCTTGGGGGCCTCCTGGGGCCTTGGGGGCCTTTGGGGGCTTCTTAGGGCCCTTCTGTTTGCTGCTCATTGCCGATCAGGACGCTCATGCGCGCCAGGTTGCACGTAATATCCTGCATAGGCGCCCGGCGCTCACGTATCTGTCCGAGAAGACCGACTTGATGGGGATCTTCAAAGCAGACAGAGCTGTTGGTCCAAACTGGACCTATGAGGAGTAGCATTGCTGCTCATAATGGCTTACAACTGCTACTCGTCACAAACCATTTCACAACAACTACCTCTGTGATAGGTTTCTGGGAGCAGTACGTTTTTCGACGAATTCGGTGGATGGGTGGAGCTTTCAGAGCTGCTTAACAAGTGGCCACCTGAGGGATGCGATCGTTACCACCCCAAATACCTGGAGACTGTCCGGCGTTATCCCAGCAACCGCCATGTAGCCCATCAAGCATTAATTGTGCTGAATTTGATTGGCATGGTCGACAACGCTGGGATACAGAAAAACAGGCTCCAGATCAAGAGGTGCAAGTTCGCTACTGAGATGTACGAGACATATTTCATACGCCCAAGTAATGGACACAGCAGTCCTGGGATACAATGCCCTGAGTCACTGTGTATGAGGATAACGGATTTGATTTTTCCAGGTGCACCTTGTTGTTTCATTCGTGGTGCCCAATGGGATGTCCCGAATATATTTCGCATAGGCCTGTCATGCCGTGCCGACGACGCCGTCAAGAGAAAAGGCATCCAGTTTGTTCATGCTTGCCCATATTTTACCCGGTGACATCAGAATCCAGTCCGGCCTGCGCGTCGACTCCGAAGCATTGATTATGGTTAGTCTGAAAAACTTGCTTCGTGCTAGTATGGCTTGTTGGTGCTCAGCAAATATTATTATTATGCCGGCAGGCCGGAACGGCGGAAGTCTTCCGACTCACATCGTCCAATTTATAGGGTTTTTGCCCAACGGTAAGTGCAGATATAGCCGCGTGGGACATGTGTGGATCAATCCCTTGTACCTGTGGGGCAGCGATAAGAAAGATCCGAGAAGTGATCTTTCCATCGACGATATTCAAGATGATGCATCATCGTCCTCCCCCCTATAATTTGAAGTGCCCCTAACCGACGCCTATCCAGGAGGTTGAGTTCTCTACGGTATTTATGCTGCAAGAAGGGCACCAAGCGGGGACACCAGCAGAGGGGATCTGACGGATCATGGATTCAGGCCCACAGTGCGGACGTGATTGGTATGACATCGAGTGGAATTACTCTCGCGGACATGCTGTGCGCCAACGATCCGCGGCGTGCCCAGACGCAGCAGTTGCCAGTGCCCGCAGGGCAACCTGCGTCGTTTGCACGTATGAGTAGGGCCACAACTCCATTTGGGACTCCACGCAGTGCTGGGAGAACCAATTGCCTACGGGCAAGGCTCCAAAGCATTCGGGTGGACCCGCAGCTCTACCAGGCTTTGCAGGCGACATCGCCGTTCGCATCGCTGCGTCCACATGCGGGGCAGCCTGCTTTCCCTGACCACCACTCTGCACAGAGGCCGAGAGTTTGGTTGGCCAGCGAGAGTGGATGTGCCGGCAAATCCGCGAAGCCGCACAGAGCATGCGCAGGGGCGGCGTCGACCTCCCTCGCGCTAGCTGGACGCCGCCTTGGGAGTATGTCTCGGACTCAAATCCATCCACGGACAACCCCGATAGGTGCGGATACGTGCCAGGATTTTTCAGTCATCCGACATGCGATCCGCAGAGCGCCCTACAGCCCCGCCGATGGACTTCCCATCGTATCCTGACTACCATGCTCAGGTGACGGGCAACCATCGCGTGGGAACGCAGCCGGAGAACCCGCATGTACGGGCGACAGCCGACGACTTCTATCAGTCGCAGTTGACACGCGGCTCTGGTTACGCGTCTGGCGTGCCGGGCCAGATTCCTCATATGTGACTCAACAGGCCCCCGGCCTGGTAGCGCCATCATCCATGGGGATTTGCGCCCGGAGATTCTGGCCATTCACGAGGCGCAGCAGGCCAACCTCTCAATGAAATTGGCCCGCCAGCGTTTGAATCGCGAGCGCCGGGCGAACGGGGTGCTGGGTCGCGCGGGGCAACCGGTTACTCCAGTCACAGCAGGGGCACCTGCATTTAACCAGGCCGCCCTTGCAGCCATGCAGACGCCGTCGGTTCCACCGATCCAGTATGGGATTGGAGAAGCCACTCTGGAGCGCCAGACGCGTTCAGGCCATCGGCAACTCGACGGTGACTTTGACAAGTGTGCCATACGCCTGGGCCACTTCATGCATCGTGACAAGGTCTGGGGGCTTCAGTGTGGTCGCATAGTCTATGCGCAGTGCTGGGGGCGAGCTGCTCATGCCCATGTGGGCAGTCAGTTGGCTGGCACTATGGTAGGTGCTGCAACTGAGGCGTCCTGCGCTATTTGCAGGGGCGTTGGTTTAATCGCAGCTGAGGTTCAGTCTGCCCTAGCTGGAGATCAGGATGCAGCAAATCGCCATGGAGAAATACTTCGCGGGGCAAACGAACTCAGGGACCTTCGCGAAGAGCTTGACCGCATCGCGGCGATGATGATGAACAGTTCGGCAGTTTCCACGAAAACACCTGCGGGGCAACCCGCTTCATCAGCCAATGCGGCGCAGGCGACGGAAGATGCCGTGCCTGCTCTGGATGCGCCGATGCCATTAATAGCAGAAACAGCCAACAATGCAGGGACACCTGCTACGGTTGCACCTGCCGCGTTGCCGGTCAAAGATATGTGGCTGAGGCGCATGGAGAGAGCCACCGAGAGGAGCGCGCATTGGCTTCAAGCTCCACATACCTACATGTCATATAGGCGACACACCCGCCCGCGCAGCCAGCGCATGACGGAGAGCCCGGCGAGCGCACGCAGCGGCATCAGTGCGATATCCGAGCGCGACATGCTACGCGCTGTGTTGATGGTGAACGCAGATGGCCAGAAGGCATGCGTGCCGACGAGGATGCGTTCATGAATTTGCCGCTCGCATCAGCACCGCACCTGCGCATGCATGACGAGTATCCCACGGCCTGGATTTCCGAGAAGAACCCCATTACGGAGGAGGGGGCCCGTGGATACATGAACGTCTTCACGTCTCTGACAAGGAACGATTGGGCGTTGGGGCAGAGGCGCCGCAAGGGTATGCGTGGCACGACACTGTCTGAGGTGCCTGGAATATCCGGAGAACGCCATGAATTGGCCCTGGCCGCGAACAGTGGGACCATGGAGGATGGAATGCTGACGATCCTTCAGGACATCGGCAGCAACGTCAACATCATTGGTCTGAAAACGGCACAGACATTTGGACGTGTTTCCCGCTCCCATGGGCGCGACATCAAGAAGCTGAACCTGACGAAGAGGCTCTGCGTGTCGGGAGTGGGACATGGTGCCGCTGTATGCGACAAGTCCTTGAATTGCAAAATTGCGCGCAAGGAAAAAGAAGATCCGGCGGGGGCACCTGCTGTGCCGAGACTTGATGCCTACTCAGCTATCGTGGCTGAGGGTACAGGGGGAAATCTCCCTGCTATCCTGGGTCAGAGGAGTGCGTCTAACATGGGGATTATCCGGATCCTGGAGCAGGGGAACGAGAATATGGTCATCCCCGGCTCTGATATGTGCAAGCCCCTCCTTGGGAAGGGTGCCAGAGTGTTTGGTTTGATGGGAATGTCTCCTGGGCACCTGGCGCTCGAGGTCGACGAATGCGGGGCCGCAACTGAAGCCAAAAGGTCGATGTCGTTTACGATCGCGGCCAACCCTCGCTGCGAG